ATTTTAAAGGGGCCCTACTATGCTAATTTTAAGGTTTCATATTTGTATGTTGTGCCTCCACTGTGACATGTTTACATGCTTTAATGTTCAAAAAGCACCTCTTCCACACTGTCTGATACCAGAGCCCAGTCTGCTCCGATTGGTTATCTGGCCGGCTCTGTTGTGATTGGTCAACTGCTCAGAGATGTCCCGGCCCTTAGCCTATCACGTACAATGTATTGGAGCGCTAGCCAATAGAAGCGCGAGGGTTACATAGTGATGTCACTAAGTGACGGAAGTAAACAAAGGACTACATTTGAGTTTCCGGCAGAGAAACTCCCTCTTGCAGGAACTTTGGGATTGTAGCCTTTGCAGACCATTTACATGCACACAAACCTAAATAACACTCAACAGGAAAAGGAAAACCCAAAGAAGCACAATAGGGCCTCTTTAATGACCTTCCAAAACATTCCAGCTTTAAACCGACTGTTCACATTTACCTAATATTGCACAGCTTGAACTTCAAACACAGAAGCAGACAATATGATTAGTAAATATATATATTTTCACTGAGCTGATAAAAGGCCTTAACCTTTACCTTTCCCCTATACGGCCTCCATACAAAGTAAAGTGGTGCAGCTGACAGCATTTAACAGAATATGGCAGGGGATATGATTATAATTCTTCCCAATGACCTTTAGTTTCATAAACAAGGCGTATTTTTTAGACATGCCAAAACTAAGACCCGATATGACAGTTTAACACATGAGCCAAATCCAAATTATTATTTTTGTTATCATTAAAAGGAATGTTGAGTTAATTTAAGTGTTGGCTTATCCAATCTGATCCCAAGCAAACACAGCTCGTCATGATCTGGAGGTCAGTAGAGGGAGTTCAGTTTGCAACAGTGTAATTAAAGTACAGTTAAACTGCCTCTGAGTTAATGTGGGCAAATAGCTGCAGGTTGGCTAATCTCATCATTGTTAACAAATCAAAAGCCGAGCTGTCGCAACATAAGGGTGTGGGTGAACTGCCATAAACTAGAAACGTCTCTGATTCAACAGACAATAAAGAATAGAAAAACATCAAGACCTATAATATTGCACATTTAGTTCATCCTCAAATAAATTCAGTTGTGTCCGACTAATACTCACAGCTGCTCTTCAACTAAACACTCCGCATATTCAATTGGAAAATCTGTCAAATTGTTTTACCTGTATTAGTTTTCATGTGCAGATGATTACAGTCGTAAAGAAAGAGCTCTTAAAATGTAGCGCCCATTACAGACTGAAGCATATCAGGGAATATCATTGAGAAGCAGAGATCACTGGCAATTGTTTTCTAGTAAACTGATGACTCATTCTTTGTTAAGACCCCATTTAAAACAATTATAACGAGAGAAAAAAATGTTTTCATTTGAACAAGATGCTTATCATAAGCCGTTAGTTCACTAATTGAGCATGAGGGTCAAGCCAAGTAATAACACCATTCTCATTGCTGACTCCTATACCTCTGATGGGAAAGAAAACAAACATCGCTACCATATCCATGTGTTACCTCATCAAACTTTGAACCCATTACTGCAACAATTAGATCATTATTGGATGATTATATTGACAGACAATTAACAAGTCTAACAATCAACCGATTTCATTTCTGTCTATCCAAACATCGATTAAACTGTTGCAGTTCTTCATCTCATCTTTGGGCTAACTTTAATAGCTTTAATTAAAGAAGGGTAACATTCGTGGCTAGATCTAAAAACCTCCATTTGTAGGATGAAGCTAAACAACAACCAGAGTCTTTCTCTGTGCGACACATTCAGCTTGATTAAATGCCCGTTGGAGGGTGCACATTAAAGCCTGATTACTGCGAGGGTGGGGGTGTGATGCATTCGGCCATCTCTCCATGTGAAGTGAAGCAGACTGTGGACTGATGTCCTCCATTTGCCTGAATGCCAGAAAATCCTTCGTCCTTCCTGAATCTATATGCTGCTGCTGACCTGACAGTAATGCATAGATGTATGCTGCTAAATAATAGCTTCAAGCACAAGTAAAGCTCAGGCGTATTTCTGCCATAACAGTAGAGTCAGAGGAACCACGATTTGGAACACATAACCATCAGCAAAAGTGAGTGTACGTATTGGGACCAGATGTGAGAGACGCAGCCATACAGCACGGGATAAATTGAGTCTTCTGCTCTTAATCCCGAATGCTCCACGTTGCAAAGGGACCAATAAGCCCACGAAGAAAAAGTGAGGAACACTACACTGACTACCAGCCCGAGAAGCATCGGCGACTTCACAGCAAAGAGGATCTAAGGTCATTGTCTCTCGGTGTTTAGTATTCAGAACGTGAGTTTGGAAGTCTATAGCAATCCTCTAGAGCCAAGTCGGATGAAACACCACCAGCATTGCAACACCAGTCCTGCAGACCATTTTATTCTTCCCCTCGTGACAGACGGGGATGCATGTTGCCATCCTGCTCCATCTCCCTGCAGCACACTTGCTATTTATTTGTTCAATTAAAATGTCTTGTAGCAAGTGTTTGGCCAAACAAGTACTATATTAAAAAGATAGAAACCAATTTGCGAGATATTGAGTCACAAATCCCTACACAGGCATTGTTTTCAGACTCACAATAACATGATGATGCTTTGCGAGGCTGCTATGAAGATTATAAAAAAAGGGAACAAAACAATAACAACTCTTCCTTTAACTACTCAAAAAAACAAAACAGTTAGTATTAAACGTGTTCACATAAATATGATGCCTAAGGATGTCCAATGGATGCATATTCAACACAAGGGTTATCGACTAAAACTGTGAACTATTACAGCTACTCAACATTATAACCACAGCAAACAAGAAAACAACACCGTAATTCTTAATAAAGCTGTAAATGTTATCTCAATATCAATTGATTTCCCTGCTGATAATACACTGCACCCTACCGCATTCTCTCCGAATGATAAACCATAATGATAAGCTATCATCTGTGCACAGTGGGTAACTCGCGCTCACAAGAGGAAACACTCATTTACAGCAGCGTTGAAATAGTTTCTGGGCGAAGGTGGTCTTTGTTGAGCCATTTATTCTTCCAACCTTCCTTCCCCTTCACATGAAGACAGCTTGCTGAGGATTTATTGTCCTTAAAATCAGCTAAAATGTTTAATCTGATGGTCACTGTCAACTTTAAAGTAAGAAAACCTCCCCACAATGCAGTGGGGCAGTGAATGGATAATACCTGCCTGGAATACTTTATGACTAGATAAGCCACAGTGCGAGTATGAAAATAACCGGTGTGATCTGCCGAGACACTGAATTTACAACATTGTTTTGTAAGGTAGTATAACAAGCCTTTATGGATATAATAATTTGTTTCCGTCCTCTGGCAAGGGAGGTGTAATGTGTCACTCTGCACCTATCTCAGATGACATTTACATTACTGAGTGCGCAACGCTTTGAGCTGCATTACTCATAGTGTCATGTGGTGCACTGATTTAAATCAGCTATGGGTATTTAGAAATATTCACACACTCACCTGGTGGCATGTTATGAGCAAGGCAGACCACACAAATATCCCTGTGAGGGCCTGAGCTGCCAGTGTGTTCAGAAACATCTGGTGTTCTATGATTGTGCCATTGCTTGTTCGAATAATTGTCATATTGGAGACGTCTGGGAGGATTGGTGCATCAAGGTGAAGGATAGAATTATTCTCATTTGATGAATCCATCTCTTCCAATGAAATATTCATCTGAAAAAGAGAGAGAAACAAATAGAGGGTTTACAGGTCAAATGTAACAACACCCCCATGGGTTTGACTTAATAATGCCAAATTATTTCATGTCCCCTGCTGTGAACACAAAATAACTCGGTTTTTATAACCATACTAAAAAATAATGAGAAGAAAAAACACCACAGTAAAGGAAAGTGAAAGACTAGATGATCCGTATCTTGATATTAAACTTCTTAACCGTTAACAAACAGCTTACCTTGTCTCAGGAGGTAGGAAGCGGCTTTATCCTGTTTAGTCGATACTGTCCTCGAGGCCAATATTATAGGATCAACATGGAGAACAAACTCGCTTTTCAAAATAGCCAACCGACCTAATTTACTGCCATTTACAAGCGGCCCGTCGACTTTACCATCGACGGGTTCAACAGACTGGACTTCCTTGTTTGAAACAGGTGCAACACCGAGGTCGAAGTCCACGCATTCGGAGAGGAAAACTCCAACAAAACCTGTGACAGAAAACTCACAATACACTAGCCTGGTGCGTTCACTCCGTGTGAACAAAAGTTAGACTTTCAGTGTTAACGACGAGTATGTAATGTATCCTTCGGCGGCGTCTCGCTCAGAGCAGCAGAGATAAACAGGTTGGGCACAGGTGAACGGGTCACGTGTCCACAGCTCCACGAGTGACGTCACGTTGTCTTTATCTGAGAGAGATTACCTTTAGACTGGGAGATAAGAGAGTATCCTTTGTTTTTCGGTCGCCCGTATAACATTTTGACAAGACTTTCAATTTGACAACAAATGTACAAGTATTATTACCTATGTATTTAAATAATATAAAGGAGTTCAATGTTACAAAAGCAAATACAATATTAAAGAAGGTAGGGCCCTTAAAATCACACAAAAAGAATCCTAAGTATTAGAAATGTTATATGTACTTTTATTTATGAAATTTCACACAATACTGATAATGTTAAAGCAAAAATATATAACTGCTAATGTATCTGAAATAATGGTGCAATTCATTGATCAGTGTTTTTTTAGTGTAAATAGCTAGTAGAGAAAGCTTTTAAATCTGTTTAAAATGTCCCTACATTATTATTTGACTGAAATGTAACATCTCCCACAGCTATAATTGATGAAATAGATACGAAAGATTATAGAAGGCATTAGCCATTTCCTCAGTTTAATGTGAATATTTGTAATGTTTAAAGTACTTATGTGTTAAGGCTAAACTATCCTTTACACCAGATGAGTGCAAATGTTTTAAAGACTTACAAAAAGGTACATTTCAGAAGTGCCCTGTTTTATTTTTCAATAATAATGCAACAATTTCAAACATTTGCATTGAAAAAAACAAAGTATTACAAATCCAAAACAAACAGTAAGGTCAATACGCATTTCATACAATGATGAAAGTGGAGCTATCAGCTATCATTTTGCAAACACACTGTGAGCACAGTGGCTTGCAGAAATTCTTTCTATACAACCAAATAAACTCCGAAGACATTTTTCACTGTCTGAACAAATCAAAAAAGATCAGTTACTGAAATTGGATTCATACATTTCTCTGTTGCGGCATAAGCTATCACAGATTGGGATTCAGTAAGTATTACATTATTTTCAGTTTAAAAAGATGCATGAAAAATGTGACATTGGGGACATCCTGACTGTTTCGCCCAGTCTTCAGGCTTCATGTCCATTATGACTTTCTACCAGACTTGGCAACTTTTGATGATGTCTTTCATTTGTTTTATTGAATCTATGGAGGAATCCTTGAGCGCCAGTCCCAGTAAAACAGGCCTGTTGCCGGCTTCTTGTGACACAAAAGTGGCCAGGTTTTTGGCACAGACATGAGTAAGAGGCTGTAAAGAGAAGAAAAGAAATCAGGCATTAGATTATTACACACACAGAAATGCTGCAATATAACATGTTATTGTCAGAAGAAAATGAATGACAATCGTTGCATGTAAAAGGGCTTGAGAAACTGATGATAAAAAGATGAAATTACAGATATAGCACTTTCTTTGCAAACACATCTTTCCTTTTTTCTCCAGGTTTTATATATTTACATCAATAATCTTCTTTTATACTCAACAAACAAACCAGTTTTCATTGTTTTTAGATACGCTTTTTGGTATCAAAACGATACGTGTTTGTATGGTAAATAATTTTTAAATCTCTTCAGGTTTGTATTGAGGTATTAACTGACTTTTCAAACTGTGAACAAGTTGTCCAGGAAAAAAAAGAATTCACTTTTCCTAACACATTTTGTGCTGTTTCCATCGTGTATGTGGTAAATAGTTACATCTTGCCTTTACTGCCATGCTGTATTATTGATTGAGCTATATTTCCAAACACACTGAGAAAAGTAATTTATTTTTTTGAAGTTCTCCCAAAGTAAGAAGCGCTTGTACGTCTCACAATATGACTTACAATATGATTAGATTTTAATGAATCCCCTGATGTTATTGTAGCAGGTTATGTGTCTGCTGTGTAACGCAGTAAACTTCACAATAACAGAGATGTAGACTGGGCTGTTGACATAATGCTTAACCACATTACAGACACAATACTCCATCATTGTGTCTGTGTGTTTGCTTTTACACTGCATCCCTCCATGGCTCTAAAACCACACACATTATAAGAAGATGCAAGTATTATCTTTAATTTAAAGACTATAAGACTTAAAAAAACCTCTTGTACATCTTTTCAACTCGGAAAGCAAACATACTTACAATACATTTCTTTGTTGATTATTCATGTCTGGCACTAAACGTCAATAAGTAAATCACATGCTAAGGCAGAGCTGAAATGAATGTTCTTGTGCAAACTTTAGCAGGCCGCTGAACTGATAAAATTCCTTCCATTCCACCAGACCCATTCAGAACCAACCTTATCTGCCCTTTCACAGCATGAAATGAGTTATCCTGTCTGTGTGATGTCCTGTGAACAAGTCTTTAATGCACTGATACAATATTAATCTGAACAATTTCATCGAGCCTACCTCGTCTTTGCCCAGCAGTACTTTGGTGGAGAACGACGGGGTGCTGATGTCATTAGATCTGGAGTCAGGTGTGACAGATATCAATGTCCCCATTTTGCCGTACTGAGTAAGTACTACGAATATGTAATTACTGAACTCTGTACAGACGACCTGCGTTGAAATTCCATTTACTTCTTTCACCGTCTGTTTCGATTTGATGACCGGCTGAGCAGAAGACATTTTGGTGATCCTGGGGGAGAAAAAGAAACAAGGAATGGTTATATGTAGGGCAGCAGCTCAATATATTACAATTATTGATTATTCCACCTATTATTTTCTATGTTCTGAATGTATCTTATCAATACATTTGGCTATAAATTAGTAAGTATAATAGTTACATAATGGCCACAATTCCCCAAAGCTGCAAAATCCTAAATTGTATTATTTTATTATATATGATGAGGAAAATCTTGAAACTAAATGTATCATTTAATGTAATGTAATGTACAGCAAATGTTATTTTTGTGACATGTTTGCATGTAAAAGGAGTTGCTTTAACTACTGATAGACAAATCATATTACTTCTGGATAATCAACAAATATATTTGTTTTCTCCAACTTTGGAAGTAATGAAAATATACATACGTTATAACATGTTATTGGTTTAGGTGTGTTATATTACAACCTATAGTTAAATCTACAAACATTGCAGAGTCGCAAAGGATACCTCAAGCCAGATATCCCTGTTTTAATGTAAAGAGAGAATACTCTTTGTTGCATACTTTAGATAGGTCTATTAATACATAACCTCTGCAAATAAAACACATCACTTATTTGACAGATATGTAAAAATAACTTTCCCAAAATGACATACTATTCTTACTATACGTTATCTTATCTGGGAATTTAAATTAGGACAAGACAGGACATTGTAAGCAGCTAGGTACAGAAATAAAACGACAGAAGTATTTCAGAATCGTGTCCCCAAAAAAATCCACCTCCCATCACCTGCAGAGAAAACTGTAAGATCGATTGACGTCCTACTTTTTACTCTCCTGCGAGGAGTGAAAGGAAAGCTAGGTGATGCACAGGCTAATGTTAGCCAAACAGCTAATGTTATCTCCAGTTGTAGCCTTCACAGCTGCATAAGAATGAAGAGATTCTCAGCGTCTATGTTACACGAAGAGCCTCACCCTATTTCCTCGTCGGTGGAAAAAGTAAAGCTTCTTGTGAAATGAATCCCTTCACTTTCAGCAACTTTTGTAGTGCTATGTGATTCACCAAAAACAAACGTGCGCCGTTTGGTTGGGTTGAACGTAAGCTATCCTGCGTGATGACGTGCCTGACGTCACGTCTGACTTCCGGGTTAGTTTCTGCTCAATTTAAAACAAGTGAGAGGTTTTTATCTCCTTTTTTTCCTCTTTAAACATCAGTAGATTGTATCAGTCTTTCATCATCAAAAGCAGAAACAAGAATGTTGATGTTATAAATCGTGCCATAGTTGGAGCTGATTATAATGTCAGTATTCACCAACTTAAGCTTCTATGAGGCTTTTGGTTGGTTAGGACTGGTCAGAGCCGTATAATAGAATATGGCGCTGGGACTGGTGTATTAATCATGCTGATAGCAATAATAGTTTCACCTAAATATAACTTGTCTTGGATTTTATTAATTTTAAAGGTTTTGTTAAAGTTATTTTTGAAACACTTTTCCTAGATCTAGATGTATACAAAGGCTTTGGTGGTGTGCAGCATCACCATGTATATCACACAAAGGATATTAATTGAAAGCAAATCATAGGTAAAAAGGCACGTTTAGAATATTAAAAAAGTTTGACGTACTGTAATTGTTAGTTTGATACCTTTTCGCTTCTTAAAATCACAGAAAAAACTGTTACCGTTAATATTAAGATGATGATTTATTTTGAAAGTCCTGCACACAAATTGAATACATTGAACCTGCAGCGGATTGGGTTAATACTTTCTCAGAACAAAATCTATCATGAGGGTTTGTGTCGGAAAAAAGGACAGGAAAATGATCCCTGAAGTTATTTTTCACAATCGTTTTCTGTCCTTGGCATTGTCCTCAAAATAAATACTACTTTTTGGTAAACCACAAAAATACAGTAATACAAACTTTTAAAGTGTTCAAGGTTCAAGAAGTTTTCACAACGCCTAAATATACTAATTGTGCACAGCTAATGTCCCAAAAAACACTATGATGCAGTGAGGATGATTCAAGTTAACTTTCAATAAAGTATTTATCAAGAGTGAATTTTATAAAGTTTCAAATTAGGCTGATTCTCTGCCCTGGAACATTTCAATCAATATTAAGCAACAGAAACAACTCTGCCAAAGCAAGAAACCACAGAGGCAAGATGTTTTTTAATTAACTTTCAATGGAGCTTTCATTTTAGGAGCAGATAAAGTCTTGTTTTTCATTCATTTTTGTTTATAATTTACCATTAGCAGAGATATTTATTAAATATTAGCACTTTCACCCCAGGCTGAATGAACCCTCTCAATGAGATAGATGTAAAATCTCCATGGCTCTATGGCGTTGGAAACAATAGATGGATAGGTCAGGAGAAGCTTTTCCTGACAGCTTTTATCTGGTGATGCACACTCTTATGATTGACAAATGAAATGGAAGTATTACGTTTTCAGCATGTGTGTTGAAAACCAACTGAAACACTCTTTTTAAGCCCAGCAGTGGTGTTTACCTGATTTGAACTCCATTCAGATCCTATATGTAAGCAATGTAAGGACAGGTTTTTAAGGACTTTTGGCTACACATTAGCCAACTACAGCTGTCACATCTGCATGTACAGGCAGAGGAAAGATGAGCTGTAGAGGAATTTTCACTGTTAGCAAAAGTGCTTGCATGACATTTATTTCAGGTGGATGTGAGGCTCCACTGAAGTCTGCGAGTGCTGCATCAGGCTGTTCCAAAAGAAGCCATCCCTATGAACATGACACACTCACAATGTCAAATAGAGCCGGCTCAGCAGAATTGCTATGCACTCTGAGTAGGCAGCAGTAGGTATGAAATTGGTTGGACTGCTCCCTATACTCTCCTGGCTGACCATCAGTGTCCTTGACCGATCATTTTGATCTAACAAAACTGTGATGCAAATATCAATAGAAAATATTTGAGCACTGCTTGTGTTATGTTCTGTCACGTTGGTTAGTATGCATGTTTATGGGAACAAGCAATGCTCAAAAAAGGGTTTAAAGGCCACAGCAAGGGGTAGTGAAAAAAACGATTAATATAAGCTATGTGATTATAATATCCGAATCATGTTGACATGTATTAGGGAGAATGGTGGTCTTGTGTTGTTGCACCTGTTCATGTTTACCTGTGTTAGCAAAGTTGTTGACTGGTTAGTTTTGATAATTCATAAGTAATGTGATCATAACAAAATCATGGGTAACTTTACCGTATTTACTATGGCAGTAGATAAGTGCTAAATCATAATTAAAACAATTATAATTTCATTACACTATGTCTTGCAATTAATATGCATTACTATCACACGAGAGATGTAATTCCATTTTTTTAATTCTCCACAATACACAAACAGCACGTCCCCTTGACACTTTTAAACATCATAATTCAATAAATACAAGAACAGTCTAATAAAACTATGACACGTTCATGAATGTTTTTTCCATATCAGTTCTCGTGGCACTTGTTATTTATTGACGTCATGTCTGTGTATGGCATGTAAACTCAGACAGGGGTTGTGAAGCTGGGTCTAACATGTTGTGTACATTTCCCCCCCAATTCATTTTCAACATAGTTGATTTTGGTAAAGCACTGACACATTCACAAATGCCAGCTGCTATTAAAAAAATGCAAAAATAGCTCATATCAAGTTGATCCGGTGGATCATAAGTAGGTTTTATGAAAGAAAATGTGTAACAAGTTTCAATTTTATCATTCCACGTAACAATTCTTTGTGAATAACTAAGGACTTGTTTTGCATAATGAATCACAATACACTCACACTAATGATTATAGTGGTTATTCAGGGCTCCAAGGGTCCTTGAGCTGTTTCCAGTAACAATGAGGAGTAGGTATTCATTATAATGTGATTCATATGAAAAAGTTCTGGAATAATTGTAAGCCCTTGTACTTTTTGGCTTACTACCTAACTCATTCCCCACTCATCTGCCATGTTATAGAAGCGTAAAGCTACAGTATATTTACATTAGCTCATCATCCAGTTTTTTTCTGTAACTGCATTTTCTTGTGCAACCCAGTATTTTACAATGTCACTAAATTAACATTGAACATGCATTGGAGGACCTACAGAATTGTTGGATTAACATCAAAGGAGGGCAGGAGTTTAATTTCCATAGTTGGCTATATAAATAGATTTGTAATCATCAACATGCACTTTGGATGACAGTTTGACATATCAAATGTTAAAACCAGATGCCCCTTTAAACTGTCTTGAAGGACTGTGAGAGATGTTGTTTAATTAGCTTTCTTTGGGCAATTCAAAATGTTACAAACACCAGCTGGATCCCAAAAAGTGTTGGCGTCACCCAAAAAATAATAATTGTCGACTGTCACACATTTCTATAAGACTTGATGGTGCTTAAGGGTCCTTAAACACATCCCATCTCTATGTGCATCACATACATACCCTCAGTGTCAAAATGTCATCCCAGAGGAAAATATCCTTTTTCCTGGATGAGGCAGCTCCCATCACCAGCCCCACATTTCTTCTTCACATTCAAATTGGCTGCATTTTTTTTTTTTCTCATCACGTAGCTCTGGTATGCACTGAATACATATCATGAAGACTCATTCTCTCTCTTAACACAATTTGAATAATAACCACCTTAATATAATGTTGTCAGACAACGTGGAATTGAAACATGATCCTCACACCTGCTTTGTAAAATCAGAGAGAGTCCCAGAGGTGGATAAGGGCAAAAAGGCAGATTCATGCCTCTCTAGATTCCTTAGTCACACATTGTCACACTCACTCACACATACACAAACAATTATTACCCTTGTGGCCACTAGAGTGCTGTGCTGTATTACAGATAAAGCTTTACCGTGACATTTGAAAGTTGCACTCATGCCACATCAGATTAACCCCTGGGGTGAGTTTCCATTAAGGTTTTTTTTTAAATGCAGGCACAGACAAACCCAAGGGGAAAACACGACCTGTTCAGAGCATTTAATAGAAAGCTTTGATTGACTGTGATTTACCCTTTCTGCCGGCAGACCAGCCATTCAATCGTTTTTGGTTTAGTGTTGTACGGTTTCTTCGAGTTTGGTTTATTTTGTCGGTTTCTGTTTGATAATTTAAAAAAGTCATTATGAATAACACAAATAAGCAGAAGATAATCTGTAAGGGTGTGGAATTTATTGCCAACCATACTTAACCAACAATGATTTCTTCACCAAAAGAGAATCACTTTCCACAAAAAAAGAGAAAACCCATCAGCCTTTTGCAATCACATGCTTCACCATTATCCCATCTACTTTCCATTTATTTTCAACCATTCAACAATAGAGGACATTAAGAACAAGCACATGTTGGGAAATACAAGACAATTCCTTCTCCAGAATCACCTACCATAACCCTTTTATTCCAGTATTTTGCACCATTAACGAGGTTAACAATTTGTTATGTTTCACATGTCAAAGGCAGCATGCTTCTATAGATTGTCTCCTGGCATGAATGCACTGTGACAGACAGAAAGCTGTGACTAAACTTTTAAAAGGAAAACAGAAATCACAGAGGCAGCAAAGACACTCTGATTTCAGCTCTTCAGTGTTCCAGAAATGCAAACATGACATCAAGAACGTCTTTCAGAGAGTAAAATGTTTTTGTTTCGGGACTCCATGCTCCTCAAATTTCACCGTAGACATGAGAACATAGGAGATACATAATCAAGAGAAACATATTTCTAACAGATGCATAACCACATTTATCATGGCTGATTTTGGGACAGTGTTTAGGATTTAGCGTAATCTAGAACTGTTGTTACAGTTTGCAACCAAATGAATATTCTTACAGTGCACTCAACAACAAGCAGCCGAGTGCAACACAGTGTTATCATCGTGGTCACTTTCAGGACTTAATCCTTACTGAGCATCACACTACTAAAGGAGCAACAGCATTCAGGCAGCAGCTGACTTCATTGCAATTGTACACAAACTTTACAGTGGCATTCATTCATTCATTCAAAAAAATGCCCCATCTAGAACCAGCGTTTGAATTTCAGTTCTGAGCCACTAAAGAAACATGGAGGTTCAACATAGCTGATCAAGATATTAAAATTCAATGTCTTTTTTTGGAGTA